TTCCCATTCTCCCAAAATGGGGGTATCATGCCGACTCAGGACTGAAGCAACAACCACTTGAGTCGGCGTCACGGGTTCGATCTCGGCCTTGTGGCCTTCGGGAAGCTCCCCCGCTCAGCAGCTTTGCGGTGCGCCGCTTACCTGGTTAGCAGCCAAGGTTTGTCCGCATGAGAACTTACCCTTCTCGCCGAATGGTGGTGAAGCTGCTGTTTCGACCCCAACGCTTGCATGTTCTAAGGCACCGCTAGCGGCTGCCGCACCGGGATCCAGGTCCTCGGCAGACAATGGGGCACGAGATAGCGCGTCAGCTACCACGTTGGTGCTCCCCTTACGATACTGCACTGAAAAGTCATAGTGCTGTATCAGGAGAGCCCAGCGCGCCAGCCTGCCGGCAGGCTCGCGGAGCCGCATCAGCCAGCTGAGCGCAGTGTGATACGTTTGCACCACGAATTTCGTCACATCAAGATAGACGTCAAACTTCCGCAGTGCGAACACGATGGCGAGGCACTCCTTTTCGGTCACGGAATAATTTTTCTCCGCAGAGACCAAGAAGCGGCTGGCAAAGGCCAACGGCTGCAACACGCCATCGTATTCCTGTAGGAAAACAGCTTAAATCCAGATTGCTCGCATCAGTTTGCACAACGAACGGTCTGGTCAGGTCGGAAGCTTGAGCTGCGCTGTCTCCGCTATGGCGTTAGACAGTCGGCAAAACACCTCCTGCTGCTCAAGTCCCCATTGCCACTCAACAGACTTACCCAAGAGTTTGCTCAAGGGTGCCTGCAGTCGGGCACAGGACGGAATGAAGGAACGGTAAAAGTTAACCATTTTTAAATAGCGGCGAAGGCCACGTACGTCCTTGGGCACGAGAAAATCGAGAATAGCTCGAAGTTTATCCCAATCCGGCTCTATGGAGCCTTCACCCAGCGTAAACCCGAGCAACTGAACACGGGTCTGCGCTAAATGGACCTTAGCTGGCTTTAATATCATCCCGGCGGTCCTCACCCTCTCGAGTACATCGGCAACATGGGCCAAGTGCTCTTCGAAGGTTCGTGAATAAATCACGATCCCTTCGAAGTAGCACATGCAGTATGACAACTTTGCTTCCCCGAAGATGCGGTCCATGAGTCTTTGAAACGTCGCAGGAGCATTGCAAAGACCTAAGGGCATACGAGTAAACTCTAACAACCCTCTGTGGGACGTGAACGCAGTTTTAAACTGGTCACGGTTACCCATTCGGACCTGTAGGTAACTTTTAGAGGCATCAAGCGTGGTAAAGTACCGTGCATCACCCAGGTTACCTACGTTGGAGTTTATCGTGGGGAGCGGATAGGCATTCTTACGAGTTACTCCATTCAGACGGCGATAGTCGACGCAAAGGCGATGACTGCCATCTTTCTTAGGCACCAACACAAATAGAGAAGCTCAGAAGCTAGACGAGCGGCGAATAATGCCAGCCACAAGCATGTCATCTAGCAACCCATCGATAATCTGCCTTTTGGCGAGACTGACGGGCCTGGGTTTACACTTGAAAGAAAGCGTGTCACCAGTTTCGATCACATGGCTCACTAAATCGGTGTAGCCAGGTTGGTCGGTGAAGAGCTCGTCGTACTGACGTAATAGTGTCGACAGACCAGCCTTCTGTGCTTCATCCAACTGAGTCGCGCCGGCGACCAAAGGATGTAGTGCCTCTTCGTGTCGTGTCGGTCGATCCACACGGGGGTTTCGAGCCGACGAGCGCGGAACGTCAGTGTACGACCCCGGAATTGGCGCACGACATGGTTCGTGCCGCGCCTCTCGTTCCCGAAGGGGACTGTGAGAGGGCAAAGGCATTGAGCGTGAGCTCGGCCCCGAACTCTGTGCAGGGCACGTTTTCGACGCTTCTGTGGCAAAGGCAATGCTAAGGGCCAGTGGCCTGATGAATGGTTTGAGTTGGCAAAAAGGGCCATCACGATAGCCGCCATTCGCAATGTCCACAACGATACCGGATTTAAGGAGAAAGTTCCGACCGAGAATCACTGGAACATTGAGCCCTTGAAGATGAACAAGACGACAGCGTCTCATTCTATCTCTCCATCTGACAATCAACCTTGCAGCGCCTGCCGAATGGTCCATGCCTTTCGCAAGGGTGAAGGTCGTTCGGCTGTCCCGGAAGCGCACTGAGTGCTTGTGCAAGTTGGACAACACCTGTTCGCCGAACAACGAGGCGCTAGCACCCGTGTCCAGCAAAGCCGAAAATTCACGGTCGGCATTGGTGACCGGAATGAACAGCGCGTGCGTATCAGCAAGAAAAGTGCTTGCCCTGCACGCAGAGGAAAGAAGCAAAGGTTAGGTCGCTAGTGCATTCACGAACGACCCAGAAGCCCGTCTCCGTGCCTCGCAGGAGGCCTGGATCCGGTGCATTCCTTTGCTATGTGCCCTCGTTCACGGCCGCGGTAACAGCGCACTCCATCACGGTCTGTATTCCCAAACGGAGCAGCCTCGAGCTGTTATGATCGGCTCGCTACGTTATCACAGGATACGTTTCTGCGAGCCGCACCTCCCACATTACGTTGGGTCGGAAAGCGTCCCAGTGTGGAGGTTTCAGGTGCAGCAGCGCAGGCTGCCCGCCTTTCGTGCGTGAAGGGGTCAAGAGAGCGATCGATCAACTCCCACGCACAGCCGGTTGCAGCCGCAAAGGCGGCGCCAAGAGGCGATTGCCGTTGGGGAAAGGTCATGGCCTCTTTTCAAGCGCAGCGCGGCTCCAGAGCTTCGCTGGCTTGCGGACGCGGCCGATAGGCACGCGCGGCGCGAATGTCGCCTTGGATGCGCTTCGCCTCAGCGGCCAACTCCTCCAAGCCATGGAAGTGGCCGCCGCGTAGGTTTGCCGAAAAAGTCCAATGTGCCTGCCGTATCACCCGTTCGACGCGCTCCTCGTTCGAGGCTCGGGGCTCAGAGATAGAAATAAGTTCATCCATCGCACGTACACACCCCTGTAAAGACTCGTCAGGAGCTTGTGTACGGAGCTCGAGCTCTCGCTGCATGCTACTTTCGTAGTCAACGGGTAGGCATTCGCGCAAAAAGACCGGACGAAACTCCTCGAGGGTTGCTGCACGGTAACCGGTAATCCTATACCATCTCGCCGCCGCGTTAGTCAGTGCAGCTGGAACAACACGTTCGAGCACCACCTTATCATCCAAACCCATCGCTCTCTGATAACGTGACAGAGGGTCGAGGTAATCTCGGGTGGTGAGCTGATCACGGTATCCGCTGTAGGTTGGCAAAGACAACATAACGGCGGGGTGACCGCTTTTCGAAGCACTCGAAAGCGTTTGCACAGCTCCCGAGAGTGCTTAGATCATCTGCACGGCGTTCTGCAGCGAAGTCAGGGTCATCACACCGGCTTCGTAGGAAGCTGTTGGTGCGTTAGTTGCGCGGTCGAGCGAAGGTGAGCAGTCGCCCAGCTTGACAAGTGGGGCCGTTTCAAACAGACTACCGCCCTGTGCGCCATTCCCAGAGCAAAATAGGCTGCTTGTGGGATTGGCCTGTTGTCAAACCAAAGGCGCACATCGTGCGGTTACCATCGACCATTCAGGCACCTGCTCAGCATGCGTTCGAAGTGTCGGTTGCACAGATTATGGTGGGCGAAAATCGGCGAGGGCCAAGGCCTGCGCCCCATCAACTTTGCAGGGAACTGACTGAGAGCGTTGGGCCGACGAACTGCCATGCATGCCGAAGGGCGCATTAGCAGTCAGAGGCGCTTGTGCGTAAAGTTCGGATAGGGCAAGAGGCCCATTCAGAAACCACGCGCCATCTCCAAAGGGAGTGGCTAGGCACCTGGTGTCGTCACCGCAATAGGGGGTGCCGACACGGATGGGTGCCGAAGGGTTCCCGTCCATAGAGGCAATGGCCTCCTTGTGCAACGCGGCATTCGCTAACAGTGACAGCGGACAAAAGTCCCGCGAAGCAGCCATGTTGCGACGAGCCCGAATTGCGCAGGCGATCTGACTCGCTAAGAGCAGTCAAAAGCTTAGAGCTTTTGATACCGCGTTGGGCGCCAGTGTAGTGTACACGTATCCCGAAGGAGTACGGCCACCAGCGTGGGTCCGGTCTTAGCGAGCCGCAGGGCACGCGTTAACCGTCGCCGTGACGAGAACACGATACTGCTCAAAGTCGCAACACTTTATTGTCTGTGGCAACACCAAACTCAGTACAGCCCATTGCAAAGGAGCGGCGGGAAAGCAAATAGGCTTATCCACGCCACGGGCATAAAGTACTACACAGGGTGCCACGAGCACGTCTCCGCTATAAAGGTGATCCACGGAGACACCGGGACCAAGGCCCGGTTGCTCGAGCGAGGGCAAAGGCGCTCGTGTTGGCTTCGGAGGGAGACGGGTCGGCCTAGCTTGGCCACGCACTAGGACACCGTACCGCCCTTCGGCCGTGCGTACGCAGTGGGGCAACATAAGGTGAGCGTTCGCTTCGAGCGCGAGGCGCCGTCAGCGAAGTCCGACGAGCCACGAGCAAATGGAGTCGATGGACGGAAAAGATTGCGTGGCTCACCGTTTGCAGTCCCGGAGAGTATCTGCCTGCCCGCTCCCGACGCAGCGCGCGAAAACCGTGTTCTGTGCGAAAACCTCTCGGGAGACTCCTCGCGCGGCGCCACAGTCAACATCCGCTACCGGTTGAGGGGGCGAAACGTCACTCCGCTCTCCCAGCGCGGCAGACAGCAAAGGAGGGGAGACATGTCATGACATGAGAACGGCAGAAAAGGCGGCTAAGCCCGCGCAATGGCAGCGGGCTAGCCTCAATTCCCACAAGCTTAAGGGCCCCCCAATTTTTCCTGCCATTTAAACGTGATACCCAGATTGCAGGAGCATTTTTTGAGTGAGTCAGATGCTAGATTGTGAGCTGGTAGATTCACCTATAATATTTTCATTTCTTGGTATAAGTCCTTCCTAAGTCGTTTTGTGAAAATAGGGGTTTACTGCCTTCATTTACGTGTAAAATTTTTTTTAAAACAGGCATCATATGACGGCGTCATACACACCACTCTTTGATCAAATTTCTAATATTACAAGACGTGCAAGGAAGTTCACATCTGTTGACGATGGCAAGTGATGATGCAGATTTGTCTGGTTTTACTTTTCTTACTAATCAACTATTTTTTCCCAACCAACCAAGATATGTGTGCCCCTTGTAGGCATATGTACATACAAACAAACTCTTCAAACAGAGTGGAGCCCCGCAAGATCATGGAATCTTCAATATTGCTAGTGGGCAGTAAAACTGAATGCGAAGTATTTTTTGGGTAACTGCAGGCAATTTGATCATTGCTTACTCTTTATCTTTTTGTCTTATCTTTCTATTCATTGCCGCTTTCTGTTTCTGTCTCTCTCTCCTTTCCTCTCTCTCTCTATAGATACACACACACACACACACACACACACATATATATATATATATATATTGTTACGGTGTATCATCGACAGGAGCTAGCGTGGCACTTAGCGAAGATGAAGAAGACGCCTGTGCGTTAGGCGCTTGCACGAGAGGCAACTCAGACATCTTGTTCGGCTGCCGACTCTCGGTGGACGCTGTCCTGTAAGCCAAGACCTCGCTCCGTCACATTTGGTGGAAGTGCTTGGTAACCGCCTCGCAACGGAACTTCGCAGCGGCCGACGTTTGAAGGGTCATTCCACAACGATGACGGAGAGTACGGCGTCTGCATCTGCTCCTGGTGTTACTGCGGCCGGAGATGATGCGGTAACTACATCTCCTTCTGCGACCACAACCTTTGTGCTCGAACCCCCGCGGGATCCTGGCACGTTCAGCGGTTCCGGCGATCCAGATGAAGTTGACGTTGAAGATTGGCTGGCAGAGTACGAACGTGTGAGTACTCGATACCGATGGGGCCCGACTCTTATGCTGGCAAACCTGTTATTCTATCTTAGGGGAACCACCAAATCGTGTTATGAGAACCATGAAACAGAAATTGTGAGTTGGGCAGTGTGCAGGGAGAAAATGCTAGACCTGTTCGGAAAGCCGATTGGAAGAAAAATGGCCGCGAACAAAATGCTCGCGTCTCGGGCGCAGACCTCGACCGAGTCTTACGTCTCCTATATAGAAGATGTGTTGTCGTTGTGTCGCAAAGCCAATGCCGATATGCCGGAGGCTGACAAGGTCGGGCATATTCTTAAGGGGATTGCGGATAACGCATTCAACCTCCTCATCTGCAAAAATTTTTCTACAGTGGACGCCATTATAAAAGAATGTCGGCGCTTTGAGCAAGCGAAGAGCCGGCGGATTACAGCGTGTTCACCCGCCTTCCGAATACGGCCGCAACATCATCTTGCGAAGACCGTGCAAGAACACAGCCACCACCTCTAGATTCATCGGATCAGGTGACCCGAATTGTACGGCGCGAACTTGAAGCCATTGCCTCTGCTCCGGCTCACACCGCTGCAAGTGACACCACCCCACTCACTGCTAACATGGTTCAAGCCATCGTCCGCCAAGAACTCGCCAGCATAGGTATTCCCTCGGTGTGCGCTTTGCCCAGCCCGCAGCGAGCTTCATGGCGTCCACCCTCGTCCTACCGCGAGGAGCAGTTCACGGCCCGATCTCGCGACCCTGTGGCGTGGAGAACCGTCGACAATCGACCAATTTGTTTTCATTGCCACCGTATCGGTCATGCCGTCCGTTACTGCAATTACCGCTGGTCCTCGCCACCTCGGACTTCATCTCAACCTCACTACCGACAGGACAGCACCCGCTTCGCGTCTGCCGTGCAGCCTTCTCCGCAAAACAACTACAGAAGGTTCAACAGCCGATCTCCGTCACCGCATGGTCATCAGTCGCGTTCGCCTCAAGGACGTCGCCAGTCGTCTCGCTCACCGCAGACTCGCAGGCCGTCATCTCCATTCAACCCCGCTCTTGCCTACCCGGAAAACTAAACGGTGCAGCGCCCGGAGGTGACGCTGCATCTTCGACTCCCTCCACAAATCCTCTCTTGACGCTTCCGACGAGACAAAATTTGTTAGACGTTGCCGTTGACGGTGTGCCCATTTCTGCCCTTATAGATACTGGAGCGCACAATTCTGTAATGAGTACGAACCTTCGCCGACGCCTACATAAAGTGCTCACGCCTGCCGCTTCCCACAAATTCGTGTCGCTGATGGGAGGACCCCTGATGCTCAAGGGATGTGCACGGCCCGTGTGTCCATTGCTGGTCATCCTACATTAGTTCAGTTTGCCGTCATTGAAATGTGTCCTCATGACCTAATACTTGGTTTGGACTTCCTGTCACGTCATTCTGCGCTCATTGATTGTGCCACTGGTGCTCTTCAGCTTGAACTGCCGCAGTTTGCCGATTTTCCAGCAGACTATTCTCCCCGTTTACGCTCTCGTCACCACGTTCGCTTGCCTCCGCAAGCTGCTACATATGTCACTTTGTCGTGCTCACGTCATGTGCCCGACGGTGACTACCTCGTCACTCCTATAGTCGACGTACTGATGGCCCGAGATGTCGCCCTTGCTCACACTGTTGTCGCCGTCGCTAATAATACAGTGGTTATACCACTACTCAACGTGAGTCTCTTGACTCAAGTTATTCCGCAAGACATGTCTTTGGCCACCCTATCTCCACTTGACAGCTGCAACGTTACTGGTTTGGACACCGATACTACATCCCCCTGTCTTGGCCGCAATTACACTCTGCCTGCAGATGACATTAACAAGATGATTGCTCCCGACTTCACTGCAGTGCAAGCTGCCAGCCTCCGTAGTCTGCTAACATCATATAGAGACGTTTTCGACTTTGACCACCGCCCTCTCAGCCAAACAACTGCAGTGACTCACCGGATCAACACTGGTCAGTCCTATACGGCGGCGTCCATATCGCGTATCTCACAAGGAACGCCAATTAATCCAAAATGAAGTGGATAAAATGATTACTAAAGACGTAATAGAATCCTCATCCAGCCCCTGGGCCTCCCCAGTCGTGCTCGTTCAGAAGAAAGATGGCAGCTGGCGCTTTTGCGTGGACTATCGCCATTTAAACAAAGTGACCCACAAAGATGTCTACCCTTTGCTTCGGATTGATGACGCCCTCGATTGCCTCCATGGTGCCCAATACTTTTCGTCTATCGACCTTCGATCCGGCTATTGGCAAATTTCCGTCGACCCCATGGATCGTGAAAAAACCGCTTTCGTTACGCCCGACGGCCTCTACCAGTTCAAAGTCATGCCGTTTGGACTGTGTAATGCGCCGGCAACTTTCGAGCGCGTGATGGACTCCCTTCTCCGAGGATATAAGTGGTCCATCTGCTTATGTTATTTAGACGATGTCATCGTCTTTTCGCCCACCTTTGACAGCCATATAACACGTCTGTCAGCTGTTCTGGATGTTTTTCGAAGAGCTGCTTTCCAGCTCAATTCTGCAAAATGCCCTTTCGGACGTCGCCAAATCACCATACTCGGCCACCTTGTCAGTGCCGATGGTGTTCAACCAGATCCCGAAAAGGTGCCAGCAGTACAACAATTTACTGAACCACGCTCAACCAAGGACGTCCGAAGTTTTGTAGGGCTATGTTCCTATTTTCGTCGATTTGTCCGCAACTTCGCCGACATCCCTCCACCGCTTACTGATCTCTTAAAGAAGGACGTTCCCTTCGCATGGGGTATAGAGCAAGCGGACGCCTTTTCGGCTCTTATCCATCTGCTGACTACGCCACCAGTACTGGCCCATTTCCACCCAGCATCACCTACAGAGCTTCGGACCGATGCCAGTGGCCATGGAATTGGAGCGGTCCTTGGCCAACGACAGCACGGGAAGGACCGCGTGATTGCTTACGCCAGTCGTCTTCTTTCACCTGCCGAACGGAAGTTCTCCATCACTGAGCGTGAATGCCTAGCTTTAGTGTGGGCCGTGGCGAAATTCAGGCCTTACCTGTATGGCCGAACTTTTTCCGTTGTTACGGACCATCACGCTCTTTGCTGGCTGTCATCGCTAAAGGACCCATCTGGACGTCTTGGTCGCTGGGCGCTCCGTCTGCAAGAATACTCATTCGTGGTCCACTACAAGTCGGGACGCCTCCACACAGACGCAGACTGTTTGTCACGTTATCCGGTTGAAACGCCCAACTTGACAGACCTTGATTCAGACCCCTGCGTTCTCTCCATCCACGCTTTGGGTGATATCTCCACCGAACAACGGCGTGACCCGTCATTACTCTCCATTATCGAGCGTCTGACCTCTGCTCCGATAGACCCTTCCGTTCGCCTGTTCGAACTGCACGACAACATTCTGTACCGTCGCAGCTTCAACGCTGATGGCCCGGAATTACTACTCGTGCTTCCCCACCACCTGCGTACCAGCGTTCTCGAACAACTACATGACGTACCTACAGCCGGTCACCTAGGCGTCTCTCGTACCTACGATCGTGTGCGACGTCGCTTTTTCTGGCCCGGACTGTATCGTTCTGTGGTTCGCTACGTCACTGCTTGCTACCGCTGCCAACGCCGCAAGCGCCACTCTGTGCTACCGTCTGGCCTCCTACAGCCCATTGACATACCAACGGAACCATTCTTCCGTGTTGGCCTTGACCTGTTGGGCCCGTTTCCTACGTCCACCTCCGGAAATAAATGGGTTGCAGTCGCCACAGACTACGCCACACGCTTTGCCATCACTAAAGCACTGCTGACAAGCTGTTCCACTGACATCGCTGACTTTCTCTTGTATGAAGTCATTCTTCATCACGGCGCTCCGCGGCAGCTGCTTACTTATCGAGGAAGGTACTTTCTTTCACGTGTTGTGGATGATATTCTCCGCGCCTGCTCCACTGAGCACAAGCTTACCACCGCTTCTCATCCACAGACAAATGGATTGACCGAGCGTCTGAACCGAACGCTGACGCAGATGCTGTCAATGTACGTTTCGCCAGATCACCGTGACTGGGACAAAGCACTCCCCTTTGTCACGTTCGCGTACAATTCTTCACGGCACGACACAGCTAGTTATTCGCCGTTTTATTTGCTATTTGGCCGACATCCAGCATTACCATTTGACACGCTCCTTCCTTCGGCTGCCCCCTTGTCTACTGAGTACGCCAG